CCTCACCCTTACCTCTGAGATATTCCTGGAGCAGGAGCTCCACCAGGTAATTTTACTCCTAGCTGGCTAATCTCAAAATGCTCTGCTCTTATAACAGAGCTCTCCCAAAATGATCGCTCTCATTAGTCACCTCACAGCTCCCTGCTACAGTCCTTAAACTGACAGACACCCTAAAGGGTGTTCTGTCACAATAATGAAATATGTAACCTGGTATTAGAAATGTATGGTACAGTCCTCCTTTCAGCAGGTCACAGGAGAAAAGAAAGTGGACATTTGCTTATGTAACTCCATATAGGCCAGTTTTGCTGAAATGCATCAATTGCTTCTTGAGACTCATCAGGTAAATGATATAAATTAGGGCAGAAATGCTTTGGCAGATATACCTGTGGAAGTTTGCACAAGCCCATAATACCACCCTCTCCAACATTTCCCCTTGTATGTATACACCACCTTGGAAATATTAGGTTCCCTCTTTCCTACTTTACCTTAATGATCTTGAAAAGATAGTGGTGATAGAAACAAAATGTTAACCTGACTAGCAAGTCTCTCTCCCTCAGATGAATCTGGGGCAGGGGTGTTTAACCCCTGGCCCACAGGCCAGATGTGACTCAGAGGGGTCCCCATAGATATTGTGTGGAGTCCCATAAGCCATGAGCCTGTGCACTAGATTGGGTGCACAGGGTGGTATGGAAGCTGATCCTGGCATGCAGGAGCCAGGTGGGAGCAATGTTCCTCCCCCATTCCGAGCTAAGCAGGGACAGCAGAGGACCCTCAAGCCTAATCTCGGCTGGGCAGAGGCTACCTGTGCCACAGAGCCAGGATTAGGCTCCAGGGGCCCTGCGCCCCCCTGCTAAGACCCCATACACCAAGATTAGGCCCTGGAACCCACACTGCTCTCCCCCAGCCAGGATTGGGCTCCAGCCAGGTGAAAGCACTGGGGGTAGAGGGATCCTGGGGAGAGTCCTGGTGCAGTGCAGAGGTGGCAGGGGTCCTAGTGCACAGGAATATCATGGGGCCGAATCTGGTCTACAGACGAGCCCCCTGCCATTCATTAGGCCCATGGGGCCACAAGTGTGAACACCACTACTCTAGGACATAAACGAGAATGTAGGTGATGTCTTGGCCACACCAGAGTCAATGACAGTTTTGTTATTGTCTTCAAAAGTGCCAAGATTTTAGCTTTAGATACTGAGGATTATATCCCACAAATTAGGCCTGTACCAGTGGAGTATTTCAAGGATTTAGCTCATACTTTGTAAGGGTCAAATCTTGGTCCCATAGAAGTCAGTAACAAGACTCCAACTAGGCCGTGATTTTACCCTTATAAGCCAAGGGATGTCTCAAGCTAAGGCAGATTGTTTCTCAGGATCCAAGTCTAAGAAATAGGCCATTAGAAATCTTAATGATTTATATAGTTGGTGTTTCCCAGCAAAGATCAACAGATTAATGTCACTGATCAGGCTCCTGAAGATGCTCAGCATCTGTCAAATTTACTTTTTTGAGCTGTATTCATTAATATTTACTTTAAATGAGCCTGATCAGTGACATTAATCTGTTGATCTTTGCTGGGAAACACCAACTATATAAATCATTAAGATTTCTAATGGCCTATTTCTTAGACTTGGATCCTGAGAAACAATCTGCCTTAGCTTGAGACATCC